AACAATTGTATAGCTGCATTAGCATTTTTTGAAATTCTCAGTGCCTTTTTTATTTTTTGATGACTGCAAGTAGCACATTGCAGTAGTTATGCACATACCATCAAAACTAATTTAATTCCAGATTCATTACAGAACTACTTTTTATTCATCAAGGTCATATCTTGATGGCTTCACAATCTTGGATAAATCAGGTGTTAAGCAGACACATCTCTGAGGAACCTAAGAATGTTCTCATTTGCAGTTCTCAGCATATTTTATTATTTATTGCCAAGAAATGACTGATTAACTTTGTCATCTTTGCTCCATGTTTTTTTTTTTCCTCAGGCTGAAGCAGCCTGCCCTCTTCTGGGATGCCTGATCAGACCTATTTAAGATGATGTCTTTGATCACAGGCATGGAGGCGCTTGCAATCTTAGGCTTTGATGAAACATTGTTCCATTGTAAGTTATGGAAGGGAAAGAGAGCTGAAATGATAACTGACAGTCAACAAAGACACCAAACTTATTAATATTTTGTATTCTTTGATAGCCATAATTTTCATGCACTAGAAATGTACCAGTAGTCAGTCTAGGTTTTATTTTAATATATAAATAATATACAGAACAGCCTCCTTTGTTCAATCTTTTCCCTATTAGCTAATTTGTCCTGAAGAAGAAAACCCTGCAGGTCAGAAGATGAGTTTATGAGTTTAAAAACATTTTCTAAATATTTTTCCATTGCTATGGTCTGTAAAATTCCCAGTTATCAATTAGATTACATGAAATTTTACTATTAGAAAACACCTAAATAATACATTCAATACATGAGAAATTAGAACATTAAACATCAGGGAAAAAATTACATGCCTCTAGGTTTTTATTAATCACATTCCAACACCAGAGGCTGAAAGTATATCAAATCACACAAAATCTTTTGCACATGACAACCTCATAAATTATTCAACTCATTAGTATTACTAAAAAGCATGAAAAAACCCCATCAGTGTAAAGGATATTTTTCCAACCGAAAAAGGTCAACCAAGTTTTAATGATGAATTGAAGGGAAAGCTTTTAAAAATAAATATGAAATAAAACTACTATCCTTTTTTCCCTTGAAATTACATCCAATTCTGATTGTTTGCTCATTTAAAAGAAAGCACTGTTAATATGTTGAATTTGAGGCTCCAAGTAAGTTGCTTAAAATTAATGTCATGAAATCCAAGTTATGGCTAAATGTCACTTCCCATCACATGAAAATTTAACCACAATTTAATCTCATATGTTTAGATGAATTTAGGATATCAAAGAGAATCAAATGACAAAAATTTTTATTAAAACACGAAGTCAGCTGAATCAGTTTCACTTCTATTACACTAATACAGGCTCCTATTCTTGAGACATGGTGCGCTACATTAAAGGATAAGACCAACCAGTGGTTCAAATCCTAGGGATTGTTGTGATGTTTATGTATGTAATGATTCCCTTTTTAACTAATTGAAGATTACTCTCCCAGCATAGACAGCGCATTCAAAATGCTGAAAACTTGGATCGCTGATTCAGATACTACTAGCCATACTGAAAGTTCCATCTTTAAAATGTTAGTTTGTTCCTAACACATAACTTGTTCCTACCACTTTGGCGCATATAAAAATTTTTTGACCGAAGTTTTCAGAAGAGGCTCTCTACAGTTTACACTTAACTCTGAATACAGAATTTAATAATAGGGTAATTGAAATACTGTAATTATTAAACATAGAGGAAGGAATAAGTAGGAATTTCAATTTATCCTAGAAGTTAATTCAGAATTTGCAGAATCCTGCTATACATATACCTTTAATCTATGTTTTCATAACTCCAAAACATTCATTCATTTGGATGTCAGTCTACACACTGTCAGATTTCAAAATACCTAAACACATTGAAATGTTGAATAGCATAGTATGTACAAGATGGGCTGAGGTTATTTTTACTTTTATATGAATGTGCTGGCAATATGTAAATCAAAATCTTTCTTTAAAATAAAAAAATTCTGCTTTTATTTATTTATTTAGCATATTTTTAAAAGCACGATCTATTGAGAGGACAGAGAAGCTCCCACAGTGGAAGGGGACCGAAAGGGACTGCCCAAAAATTCTGCTTTTAATTAAGTTTTCAATATCTATTTTTACTTGATGAAGTATTTTGTAATACTTAGAGGTGCCTACTTCCTATTTCTTCTGAAGAAATTCCTTATACATAGGTTAGCAGACACACCGAGAAGTAGGGAGAAGGCACGAGCCTCCATGTTTCTTGGGGTAGTTTGTAATTCCTTCCTCTAGTATGCACAAAGGATCCAGGGAGTGCTTTCCACTCACCCTTCATATTTTTTTTTTTACTCCTAACTCTACTCAGTTCCAAAAGGCGTGACTGCAACCAAGGTTAGAAAATAATTGCTTTTGTTCTCTTTTGTTTTCTACTCCACAATCTTAACCCTGAGAATGAACATGGAGTAACTTCAGGATAGGCAACATGCAGATCTCCTAGATATTTTATGGCGTATTCTTAATATGTATACAACAAAAACATACTCATCTTTCCTTTTATTAAATGGCCCAGCTCAAGAGGAACAGTAGGTTCTGAATACTGCTGATGATCTAGCATTGAAAATCCATAAATACTGTATTTTAAAATACACTTATAGTGCACACAGAGAATATTTAGTATCACTTATACCTTTTATCCATTTCAACTTAGAGTGTTGTGTTTTAGTTTAGGCTCATTTACATTAGTTACTATGTTACTAAAATGTGACCATCAGTTTCAAAAAGATATTAAGGTAAAAGATTCTAAAATTTGTTACTGTTAGGCTTTGACACTGGTTTACTCATAGAAATATTTTACACACTAAACACAAATTAAAGTATTCACTTTTTTTTTTTTTTTTTTGAGTTGGAGTCTCACTTGGTCGCCCAGACTGGAGTGCAGTGGCCCCTCCTGGCCACTGCAGCCACGCCTGCTGGGCTCCAGCGATCCTTCCGCCTCAGCCTTCCCAGTAGCTGGAATTACAGGCATGCGCTACCACGCCTGGCTGATTTTTTTATTTATTGTAGAGATGAGGTCTCGCTGCCCAGGCGGGTCTCGAACCCGCGGGCTCAGGCAATCCACTCGCCTCAGCCTCCCAAAGGCGCGTTACAGGCTGAGCCACCGAGCCCAGCTAAGTATTCACTTTTAAGAGAAAAAAGAACTATTTTTTCTAACAAAGTCTTTTCGTAAATCCCGTAGAATACAGAATGTAGTATAATGTGAATCCTGTATAATTAAAGTCTTGTCAATTCGATATCATTAATGACACCTCTGCAGCCTGCTCTGCTACAAGTTGTCTCTAGATGTTTTTAATTTCAAATGCCATGGATTCAGGATGAATTGGTGAAAAAGTCTAAATTACTGGGCAAATGAAATGAAGTTTAGTAATTTTAAGCTCACGTAATAAAACAAGTCATTGCTAAGTAAGCAGATAGTTCTAAGAATCTCTGCTATAGGATCATAAAGGAAACGCTTCATTGTAAGTTGGTATCAAATCCTTAGGGTGCTAAAATCCTTCGATAACTTTTTGAGTTGATTAAAGAAATCACTTATAGTAAGGTCAATTGATTTTTTTCTAGCAGTTTTTTTTTACATAGTTGCTTTTACTGTATAAAGTTACTTTGTAACTTTTATCTCAGGTATGACATTTTCATATAAAATCCTCATCTATTTATTTAATGATGTTGTGAGCCTTACTAAGGTACAATAATGAACAGCTGCCTGGAATGACAAATTTTAAGAGCTTTGTACATTTTGTCTTTTTATTAGGATTACACACTTTCCCTATTCCATTTATTAAGCACATGAATGGTGTTTCATGATATAGACTACAGTTTGATATAAAACTATTTACCTACTATAGTAAATTTTAAATCAGATGGCTTGTTTATTACTCCCAAATAAATGAAAATTAATATAATAAAATACAAGTAATTGAAAGAATAAAAGTGGATAATGACAAAAATATATGAATAGGGCTCATTATTGGTACTCCTTCACTGTATGTGTTTTATAAAATTCTGATATGTTTTATTAAATTCAAACTTGTTAGAGTATTTAAAAATGAGCAAATAGGTCAAGGGTTCCTAATCATAATTCTTAGTGGCCAACAATCTAAAGTAGCAGCATTTCTATTAAGCAGCAAAAATATTTTGATATTTACTTTTTACTGTACATTTTATAAAGGACAATTTAGGGTACAGCTCTACTGCACTGTGATAGTTGATGATATTATAAATGGGGGACTATCTTTCTCAAAGTTCATTTGCAATCCACTGGAGGATTAGACAATTAAATGTGAAGACTAATAGGATTTTTAATTTAATTTTGTTTTATTGAACTGAAAAGAATAGAGTGAAATTAAAATACAAAATATGTAAAGGGATTATTAATAAAACATGCTTCAGTTAGATATATATGAATATATACACACAGTATACATATATTATGTGTGTATATATATATTTATACAGTATAAATAAGTGTGTGCAAAGGTATACATAAAATATATAATTCTGAGTACAGAATCACATCATACAAATATACATATATACCACATGTATATATGTGTACTTGTATAATGTCTGTATATTTGTATAATGTGATTCTGTACTCAGAACTATATATTATATATATATATTTATTTTTTACCATGATTATTAGTCATCAAAATTTGAATGACACTGAAAAAAAAATTTTATTCTTGCTTTAGAATATATGAAAGGGATGTTGATTAAGAACCAGTATTGTAAAATCTTTTAATTTCTTAAAAAGAAGTTTCAGGGTAAAAAATATATCTTGTGTGAGAAATACTGGGCTGATTAAGTGTGACCCAAATGATACTGAAGGATAAAGCAGACAAAATATTTCAGACTTGTGACATGAAGAACATTAAATACTACTGAAATAAATGAATTCTCAACCACATGGTATTTTTGAATAAAAGGCACAGTTACTGACCATACTCTATTGCCGCTTTGAGCAATGCTTCAGCGTGAGTGGAACCAAATGCATTGCGAACAAATCTTCTCCTTCGACGAAGATCATCTTCCCAGTAATCCAAACGCCAGAAATCGTGTAATTGGCTAAGGATGAGAAAATAAAAAGACAGAATCCCTATTAATAGCAATACATAACTAGAAATACACTTTTTCCATAAAATTGAAGCTTTATTTCTTCATCTCATTGGCAAATTGAGATAATTTTTGAGATATTTATATTTTACATTTGTATTTGTATACATGCTTCCTCTACAAATAAACAAACAATAGTAACATTCATGTATTTTAGGCATTATAACACTCAGCTCTACTTTTTTTCGTTTACAATTTTCTTCCTTCTACTAAAAGCATTAATCATGGTGCATTTAGTAACAAATGCAACATCAAATTACAAGTATTAATGGCACAGTTTGCTTTCTTTTACACTGTTTTTAACAAGGCTTGTAAATCACAGGACAGAACTCACTACAAATAGTTTGCAATTTAATGACCATGGCTTCTTAGTAGACTGAATTAAGAAGTATAAAAAATTGCCCACTTGGATTTGGAGAAACAATGATTAAAATAATGTGCTGAAATATTCATTGAAATAATTCCCTGCTGCCCACAGCAACCTGAGAAAAGTGCAATTTTATCCATTATTAATAATACTGAATTAGAGCTGCAAGAAATTCCAGTATGTGGTAATTGTCTTGGTAAATTATTATTCTAATGCTAACAGAGTCCTTGGATGATTTTACAGCTTTCAGCTAATATAAACCATTAACAACCATAGCCATCATTGGGTAATATTGTCTTTTACACTTTAAACCAATATTAAAAATCCAAGAAACATTTCAGAAACTACTGAAATATGCCTCACTGTAAATCCAATTAAACACTTCATGATATAATTTTTGTTTTCAATTTAATTTCAATAAACATTGGTGATAAATACCACTGCTTCAGAAAGCAGTTTTTCTGTACATGGTATTTGGAATAATATACTCAAAAGACAATACCCTAATTTGTGCAGCAGCACTATTCATAAAAACATATAAAATGCTTTCATAGAAGACTTGATTTCATTTATTATTTTGCAGTTTTACTGTAGGAGTCTACTTTAAGTTTGATTAAAGCAGGGGTAGATGTTTTGATCGTAATTATATCTCTAGCACAGACTTTGGTATATAGTCTGTTTTTAACAGTCAATTAGTTAACTTTCTTTTTTTTTTTTTTTTTTGAGTTGGAGTCTCACTCTGTTGCCCAGGCTGGAGTGCAGTGGCAAGCTCATCGCCACCACAGCCTCGACCTGCTGGGCTCAGGCGATCCTTCCATCTCAGCCTTCCAAGTAGCTGGAACTACAGGCGCACGCCACCACGCCCGGCTAGTTTTTGTGATTTATTATAGAGATGAGGTCTCACCAAGTTGCCCAGGATGGTCTCGAACCCCCGGCCTCAGGCAATCCTCTCGCCTCAGCCTCCCAAAGTGCTGGAATTATAGGTGTGAGTCACTGAGCCCAGCCTCAATTAATTAATTAAAACTCTTTTCAAAAAAATCTATAGATGTATAATCATAGAGAAAAATAACTTACTTTGAAAAACAGTTTAGATTTTATTGTTATATAATTTTATTATCTATAACTTCATTGTAAAAAACAATATAAGGGAAAAAGCATTAAAATTACAAGTATTTGAAATATGCTTTAATGTGCTTATTTTCCCCATACATATTTATAACTTTATTTTTCTGTTAAAATAATAATTACTTGATGCATAATTGTTTTAAGCAGTATATTTCTGTGAGTAATTTAAAATAGGATGACTTCTTACAAATACAAACCAATTCTAGTGATTTAAGGAAAACCATGCCAAAATCTTGCTATAATAATTTTCCTTAAGATTATGTTAAAATTAAGTAACTGAATTCACCAGGGGCATCCAGAGATCTAATGTGATCTCAAACTTCTCACCATAGACATGCTTCTCCCTATTCTTCCCATTAAGGGCAATGGAACAATTCTGGAGAATATATATAAAACAGACATAAGAAAATTGAAAGATGGAGAGAAAGCAAACTGGATAAAGACCTCAGGACCCAAAGAAAACATACCTATGAGTTATTTTTATCTCATATATCCCACACTTGGAGACAAAGAGACCAGCACCCCAGAAAGGCCAATGATGCAGACCAGAAAAACCCAAAAAGCCCCAATAGAGGCCTGCTCCCTTCAGCAAAGTACCAAAAACCAGGCAGCTGAGATAGACAGAAAGCTTTTAAACAACTGCTGCAACTCCAGCCAGACATCACAGAAAAACTGCTTTCCCAACCCACCTACATGAGCAAAGGACCGGTGGGGAGCCCAGACAAGCACCTCTGGATGGAGTGATAAGGTTCCCCAACACCCTTGCTGGGGCAGCATCATAGAAAGCTGAGCAGGGAGCCAGGACTTCCGGCTCTGCTGGCTGGTAGCAAAGTGCTCCTCCAACATGGAGTCAGTAGAGGCCATGTGGAGAGCCTGGCTTTCCACCCACAGGTGGACAGTAATGAGGCATCCCTCCCCCTCTGCACTGGGGTAGTTCCAGAGGAGGACTAGTAGAGCGTCAGCACTTTCTCCTTCCACCAGTAGCAGAGGCCACGCCCAGCTGTGGACACCACGGGGACCAGGAGCATCCAACCCCAGGAAGCAGTCAAGAGGAGCCACCACTCACTGGCTTTCAAAGGAAGCCAGGTGAAGAAGTCAGGTTTCTACCTACACATGGCAGTAATGAGGCAGTTCCCCAAATGGAGCAATGTCAGAGAAAGTCAACTAAAACAGGTTTAAATGAGATAAAATATCTCAGAGAATAATAAGAAAATGTCTAGATTGCAATCTAAAATCATTTTTTATACCCCAAACTGAGAAGGTCTCAAATAAAAAATATTTTTTAAAAAGCAATCACTGATAAATGCCAACACCAAGATGACAGGGATGTCAGAATTTTCTGGAAAAGAATTTAATGCATTCATACTCTTAAAAGAGGCTTCAACAAACAATTATGATCATGCTTGAAATGAATGAAAAAACAGTCTCAATAAGAAACTAGAGAGCCTCAAAAAGGAAGTAGATGTAAATAAGAACAAAATGGTTGAACTTTTAAGGATACAAATCATCCTATTTTAAACTACTCACAGAGATACACTATTTAAAACAAGTTTTGAATGGACAAATATCATAACCAAAATAAAAACTCAGTACAGGGGCTCAATAGCAGAGTGGAGGGGGTAGAGGGAGAAGTCACTTAACCAGAAGACAGAGTAATAGAAATACTCAATTGGAATAACAGAATACAAAAGACGGAAAAAAAGAATGAACAGAGCCTCAGGGATCTGTGGAGTAAAATAGCTAACAATTATGACATTGGGATCCTAGAAGGAGAGGAGAAAGTAGGCAGGGCTGGATTAGAACCTGAAAAAATAAGGGTTGAATACTTCTTAAATTTGGCAAAAAACATAAAGGTACAGACTTAAGTAGCTGACTGAACTCCAAACATGATAAACCCAGAGAAATCTGTGCTAAGACACATCATAATTTAACTTCTGAAAACAGAGGACAAAGAAAAGTTTTAAAAGCAGCCACAGAAAAATGGCATCTCACATCTGAAGATAAAACAATTAAGAATGACAGCAGATCTCACATCAAAAACAATGACGACAAGAGGAAGTGGCAAAATATTTTTTAGGTGCTAAAAGAAAAGAACTGTCAACCCCGAATCCCACAGCCAGTAAAGATACAAAGCTACGTTTCAAAAACAAGAAGTGAAGATATTTTTTATTTATTTAGCTCCCACGAAGAGTGTATGGTTTTTTATTTTTATGAGAACTGAAAGTATTTTCGGATAAAAGAAAACAAAGTAGGTGTTGCCATCAGAGCTATTCTAAAAGAAAAGCTAAGGGCAGTTCTATAAACATGAAGGAAGTGATAGAAAAGACATACTGGCACATCGGAAAGGAAGAAGAAAACACAACAATCAAAATATGAGTAACTATAACAGGCTTTCCGTTTCCTCTTGAGTTTTCTAAATCATGCTTTTACTGTTGAAACAACAATTGGCATACTATCTGATGTGGTTCTAAGTGTATGGAGAGGCAATATTTAAGACAATTACATCATAAATAGGGAGGAGTAAAGGCCTGTAAAGGAAGGCAAAGCTTCTGGACTTCACTTGGACTGGTAGAAGAACACCACTGCTAGAGTGAGACGAACTCTGTATACATAACGTAATACTTAGAGGAGTCACTAAGAACACTATACAAAGAGATATCCTCAAACATTACAGATAACTCAAGACGGAATTCTAAAAAATGATGAAATAACTCAGAGGAAAGCAGGAAAAATAATTCATGAGTCCAAAAAGTTATCAAGGGAAACCAAAAGAGAACACAGAACCGAATGAAAATTTCAGTAAAAAACAACAACAACATTTGTTGGACACAACCAAAGCAGTACTGTGGGGGAAATCTACAGTACTAAACACATACATCAGAAAAGAAGAATCATCTTAAGTCCATCGCCTGAACTTCCACCTTAAGAACAGAACAGCAGAGCAAAGCATGTAGAAGAAAGGAAACAATAAGAAAAAAGCAGAAATCAATAAAAATCAGTGAAACTGGAAACAGAAAAACAACAGAGAAAAATTAACAAAACAAAGAGCTGCTTCTGTGAAAAAAAAATCAATAACATTGACACACCTGTTGCAAGACTGACAAAGAAAAAAACAGTGGACACAAATCACCAGTATTAGGAATGAAACAAGGGATATCACTACAGATGCTGAAGACATGAAAGGGAGTGGGGGCACTAGGAGAGACAGCGTGCACAGACTTGCCAGCTTAGACAAAATGGACCAACTCCAACTCCTCAGAAAACAAACTGCCGTAGCTCACCCAGCGTGAACTGCATAGCAGCCCAGGATATTTAAGACATTTCACCCTCTTTCACAAAATATCTCCAGGCCTAAATGGTTTCACTGAAGGACTCTATTAAACATTTAAAAAAGAATTAACTCTGATTACACAGAATCACCTTCAGAAAATAGAAGAAGAAACATTTCTCAGTTAATTGTATAGCTAA